AGAGTTTAAGAGAATAGATAAGTATTTTTTAGAAAAAAATATCTTTTTTCACCTTTTTATTGGTGATACAGATTAATGGATTTCATTAAGGTAGATTTGTACATACACGTAGCGTACTCTGATCCTTTGCACCCTCCCCATCAACTCCCCTTATGCCCCCTTATTTTACATTTGATGGGGGGACTTTCAGTGTTTATATATTACTCATATCTGTCCCCTCTATCACCTACCCTAACATACACACACCCTTTGATTCTCTTCTTCTTGTCTAATAATAGTCTCCCTTTTACTTTTTAGTCTTTTTTTAGGTTTCACATATTAAGGAAAACTCTTTAATGTACAAATGGTCTTCCTTTGAACCCAAGGCCTTCACACTAAACTATCCCCAGACCTTTTTCTATCATTTATTTTGAGACAGTATCTCACTGAGTTGCTCAGTTGCTCTGGCTGGACTCAAACTTGCAGTCATCATACCTCAGCCACCCAGCAGTAGATTAAAGTTTCAGACCACACAGCGTTAACATGTACCATCAGCTGAACATGTACCGTTCCTGAAATTTACTGAGCTCAAAATGTTTTTCTTCCTAATTATACCAAGGAAGTAAGCTACAATGAACAATGTATTGAATCTAGTTTCCTTGACTTTTCACAAATTGTTAAGTGGTAACAAACTACATACCTAGCAATATAAAGATCCTTTGTTTAAGCCTACTGTGTGTATGTGTGTACAAGCTAAGTCGATAAAACAATTTGATGACCATGTGAATTAATGCAGATGTGGTACTTAACCATTAAGGTTGGTTCTGAATTTCCTAGGGCCAAGCAAAATGGAAAGAGAAGTTCTGTGCCTCTTGGCATGGTGACTATCACCTACCCATTTCCTGGGTGCTGTATTAAATCATTTACACTTTTTATCACTTTACACACAACTTGAAATAGATATTATCCCTCACATAACATAGGAAGAAGAACAGTGTAATAAGGACCAGATTGCCTAAATTCAAATAATCTCCTTAGTGTAAGAACCTGAGGGCTGGGGATACAGCTCAGTGGCATAAGCGCCTGCCTGGCAAGCACAAGGTCCTGAGTTCAATTTCCGGTACCAAAAAAAAAAAAAAAAGAACCTGAAAGAGTGAATAAAATCTGAAAGGTACAATAGATATTGTGAAAGGGAAAGAAACTGCTCAAAAGGAAAGAACAACTGGAATAAGAGAAAAGAAAGAAAGAAGGGAAAAAGTATGTATATATATGTACATAAGATAGCTAAGACAATTGTACTATTAATTTCTATTGGTTTATTGAAAGGAACAGTTAACGTTTCATGGTTTGCTCAATCTTACATGCCTATATCTGGTTATCTGAGTAATCACTTTGAAGACAACATTTTGTAATACAACAACCATTGTTAATTTCCTACCACCTTGTTTGATATTCTGTATCATTTTTATTGTTTTTATATTATTAAGTTTGTCTTTGTATTTTTAAATTTGTTTTTGTTCTTTTCTCTTTAAAATAAAAAAAGGAAAGTAGTAAAATCACAATTCAAAGCCTTGAACTATCTACATATTAAATGCATTTTTTCCTACCTCTCCTTGTATTTGGGGAAAAGGAGACAAATCAGCTTCCTATTTCCTCACTGAAAAGTACACACGAAATTTGTCACATAGTGCTTTGCAGATGACTTTAATCTAAGCTGGGGAGATGGAGCCGGAGGGAAAGCAGAAGGAAGGAAGACAGGGTCTTGTTCCTCAGACAAGCTTTCACTAATCCAAAAAAGGAAGGAAGGAAGGAAGGAAGGAAGGAACGAACAAACGAAGGAAGGAAGGAAGGAAGGAAGGAAGGAAGGAAGGAAGGAAGGAACGAAGGAAGGAAGGAAGGAACGAAGGAAGGAGGGAGGGAGGGAAGGGAGGGAGGGAGAGAGGGAAGGAAGGAAGGGAGGAAGAAATGGCTGTTTCAAGTTTCCCTGCAAAGAAAAGCTCCTCCTTACTGTGCAAGGAGCAGGTGAAGGCCAGTGCTGCAGAGGTCAGTTTACCAATAGTCAAGGAAAATGGAAAAGTTAACGTTTATCAATACACTGCAGAAGAGCTGCAGGCAAGTCCACAGAGAACCGTGCCAACGGGGAGAAAGCAGGGACCTTTGTAGCTGACTTTAACGTGAGGAGAGGTCTGGAAATATCATCCAGGGACGCTTTCATCAGGTCAAGGGATTATATTGTCCCTTCGTTTCAGGTATTTGTTGTTGGAAGACCGGCATAACGTCTTTAGGGACAGCGAGAAACCCTTGGTACAGCTAGCAACAGTCTCTCCGGGTAAAGTTGATTAACAAGTATGCATAGTACAGATTGACTGAGTTTAGTGGTCAAGGGGATCAGGATAAAATATGCACAGGGTATATATGTTTACATTTGAAAGGGTCTTTTGATGTGCTACTAGCGCCAGGGATGAGATGGTATTCTTTCAGACACATCGAGCTCTCAAGCATCTAGCACTGCAGGCATAGTTCACAAGCTGGAAAGTTAATGTTATACTACAGGCTCCCCTCAGCTCGGCTCGCTATGCAGGGGCTTTAAAGAAGCAGTGGTAAAATAACCATGATTTCCCACACGGCTTTCACACATCAGGATGGAAACATTCCACGGAACAACTGAACCCTCTACCTAGGTCATTTCTCCTACAGGTGAAACAAGTCGGGCCCACAGGGGAAACACACAGCCTGCCCCTGCTCAGCGTGGCCTCAAATCTCGCTTCCACAGAGCAGCCGTTTGCAGCCTTTGGGCTAATGGGAAGCGACCTGGGACTGGATGGGTGCGGTGCGCCATCTGCTGAGCAGGAGAGGCTGTGCAACTTCCTTTCTTCGACGTAATTATTTTCCGTGTCTATTAGTACATACGTATTTGCAGTATTAGTACATACGTATTTGCAGTATACAATAATTACACTCACCGTGGGGATGTAGTGCATGTATATAACACATCTTAATTCTCTTTATTTCTCATTCCTTTCCTTCATGCTAGTTCCCAAGTAACAGCCAACCCCGGCACAAGCCAGGAAGGCAAGCCGCGCTCAGGGTCCCAGCCTCTGGAAGTTTCCTCAGTGTGTTTGGCAGTGTGGGGTACGGCGGTCCTCAGTACCCTCTCCCAGGGCCCGCCCTGGGCCACAGAAAGCAGCGACTGAAATGGGTCTGGATTGGACAAACCGGGAACTGCTGTAAAAGCAGCGCCAAAAGTCATGAACTTGGAGCTGGTGAACAACTCACCTAATTCTTCCAGGCCACATTTGCAAATCAGAAAGACAGACCAGGTGATCCATAGCGGCCCATCTGACTCGGACAGGGTGATTCTACCGTCAAAAAATTCCCTTCTCTCTGATCTTTTTGCACATTATCACCAAAGGTTTTTTTTGTGTGAAATACAGACATACTATTGTCACTCTTGTAAGAGAGGACACAAACCCACAACTGGCCCATTTGCCTATCACTTTTTGTCTACAGCTGTTCGTTCATTCATTCTAAAGAAATATGAGAAATATTTACATTGAAATATTATTTATAGGGCTGGGGGTATAGCTCAGTGGCACAGTGCTTGCTTGGCAAGTGCAAGGTCCCGAGTTTGATTCCCAGTACCAAAAAAAAAATAAATATTATTTATATAGAAATATTTCCTATGTGTCTCCCCATATCAACCCTATCAGAACACCTGTAACTACTTTCTGTCCCCTTGGCATATTGCTTATGCTGTTCCCTTGCAAGGAATCCTTTTCATCCATCCTCCTCCAGATCAGCTTGTCTGTATCTCAGTGCAAATATCCTCTCCGTCCTGGAATTTCCCAGCTACTATGTTCTATGTTTTCCTATCATTTCACACCTTGATCATAGTATTTAACACCCTGCCTTATGCACATGCGTAATGAGATGACATCTTCATACACTCAGAGGTGAGAATTTTCCTCATGCAATTTTCGTCTTTGTGCTTCCCTCACTATCCAGGCTGAGAGTTTTTTCCATGTATGGCCCATGGGGTGGGACTATTACTGCCGAGATAGACAGAGAAAGGAAGATTCTTTGCACAGAACTGGACATCTAAATGGACTTCTGAAGTTCGTAACAAACTCATTATAGCTAAGAAAGGTTGTTACATTTCAAGAGCCTGACCATCTTGAATACAAAAGTCAGCATTTACACCTTAAGTGAAAGATTCTAAAGGGAAAAAGTGAAGACTTTCCCACCCAGCCACTCCCTGTTCCCCTACCAACCAATTACAGAATTAGAAGTGGGAGCCGGGTTCCTGCCATCCGCCCATTCTCAAGCCAAGTTCCCTATGGGAAGAAGAATCTACATTCCAGTTCCTTCCTAGAACCTGGAAGCCAGCGTCAACGCAGAATTGCCCTGAGTCAGGGGCATGATAGCCGAAAAGAAGAAAATGGGGTGTGTTGGGTCTAGGCAAAGCAGGCAGGAGAGGATCTCTGAGTTTCCTAGAGAGACAGGAAGACTGAAACCTGGAAGCTGGTGTGTTCCCCAAAAGCCTATGGAAGAATGAAGACTACCAGTGACCACTACAAGACCCAGAAGTCATAACAAGGACAATGTACGGTGATCACATGGTCCTAATGACTGCGCTTCAGAGATGACAGCTGCTGATACCGTGGCCTCTCCATACATATTTCTTACTTTCCTTGGTAGCTGCAGAGGAATGTAGCCAATGTTTGCTTTGTAAAAGAAAGTACGGAGGAGGTTGAAACATTGATGTGTTAGTGGGAACGTGAGTTCTGTTTGCACCATCTTCTTTAATTCTCCATGTAACTAACACTCAGGTACCATTAATAATAAACTAACTCTAACACCAGTGCTCTAAGAGGAAACACAAAGCACGAGTGAAAGTGTACAGGATTTCCAGATAGTTAGGGCTACAAAATCTTTGAGTACAAGCTGAGCCTGGAAACAAGCAACACAAACATTTTTTAGTTAATAACATTTTATTACATTATTACTGGATATATTAATTTTCTGTGAAGTTTTATATAATTAACAGATCATAAATATATAGACAAGTCCTCTAAAATATAAATATCTACCGGTTCAGGCCAGGATCATTTATATTTAGCAAATGCTTCCTATAGATATATTCACCAGATCTTTGTCCCCGCCCTTACCATCCCACCCCAACCTGCACAGTGCCTTCCACACACTCATGCATTAGCACTGTGTTTTCTGCTTCCCTTTTACCAACAGAAACCCCAGGGAATAGCACTGGACCCTAGTGGTCATCATAACGAGGGGGTCATCGTGTAACATAATGGGCCATGGGCTCCTTCATGTTCCTCCGCATCCACCTGCATGAGGATGGGAAACTGGAGCATGTCTGAAGCATCTCAGAAAAGTCATACTACATCTAACACAAAGCTTGGAGAATTCCACAAGGAGCTATTAAGAGACAGTGAGTGCAGAGAATGGAGAATCAGACAGGACTTGTTTCAGGCACTGGATAAGGAATGGCGCTGCTCCAGCTTCTTCAGCTAAGCGGATGTGCAGCGCTCAGGCCACGTGGCGCACGATGGGGGTGACACAGGTGCAGCCAACGGTCACCAGAACTTTCTCCAACTGGAAGGAGTGAGAGCAGCCCCGCGGCTCCCTCCGGAGGACCAGGATCTCTTGCTGGATGGCAACGGAGTTCATGGAGCTGTCTTCCTGCCCCTGGGCGTTGATGCAGCCTGAGTGTCTGCACTGGGCTTCTACAATCTCGGTAGGGAAGCGGTGCGGGTCCCGGGTGATGCTGCAGGAGCAAGCCAAGGCAGAAGGGTGAGGCGGGGGAGAGGGCCGGAACAGCGACCAGAGCCCTACAGGGCACTGTGGAGTCACCCCGGCTGCACAGGCCCTGGAGCCGCTCTCTGGCAGTTGCTTAACTCCCTACCACTCAGTTTCTTCAAATAGAAAATGGGACTCTCAGATATCATTCTCTCATGCAACCGTTGAAAACATTCACTAACACAAACGCCTATAAAGCACCCCTCTGTACCACGTTAGCAACCAATTAATGTTGGATCTTTTGGTTTACGTTTATTCACTTTATTGTGATAATGAGTCCTCACCCCTCACCTAAAGATTGAGCAGCACCAGCAGGTCTCCCAATATACAATCCATGAAGCCAGTGCGTGGAGGGAAAAACCAAAGCCCCAGGTATCCCCGAGTCTCACAGCTTCATAGGGAACATACACGCGAAATAAGAAGACCTTCGATCACATAGGTGCACCTAACCCAAAGCAGCAAGAAAAAGCTGAGCTCCTAGGGAAAGCAGAACTTCTGTTGGTAAGAGTGATGGCAAGGGCTTTTTCTTTTACCTTTTCTATATTCTAACTTTTCTACTGTATAGTTGCTATGGCTGGGTCTAAACATCCTCCCAAAGCCTCTTGTGGTCATAGATGAGGACTTCTGGAGGTAGTGCATCTAGGGTGTGTGATGCTGGAATTATAGATGTGTGATGACTGAATCAGCCCACTGATTGGTTTGGCCTAGTTCTGGGTGTGGATAGTTCTGTCGGTGGCACCACCTAGCAGGCTGATAGCCTGGATGCGGTGAAAGGGAGATGCAGGCCTGCCGCTTTTACTTTTGTGGCTGGTGCTGCCGCCATTGCTTGCCGCTTGCTGCCTTCTGTGATGCCCCCTGCCATGCCTCCTGTCTTGGAATCAGCCAACTATGCACTGAAATCTCTGGAAATTGTGAGGCGAATAAGCCTTTCTGTCTTTAATTTGTGGGTGTCCGGTATTTTGTCTCAGCAATGAGAAAATAACTGAAATAATGGCTAAAGGCAGTGAATATATTTTTCAAAAGAATGTGAAGCGCTGTCTGCCATGCACTCACTTGTAGTCCCACGGGGAGCTGGAGCGGTTCCGGAAGTCATGGGGGATGGGAGTGCCCTGCTTTTGATTGAGGATGCGAATGTCAACCGTGATGGTGTTGTCCTCCAGAGGAGGGCAGTTGCTAGGCTTCTGGAGAGCAGTATTGCCCACTCTGAGGGCTTTCCGGGCCGCCGCCTCCCTCAGGAGAGTGATCCCCAGCAGCAGCAGCAGCAGGGACTTGACCTGGAAAACAGAGAGGTTTGCAGTTGCTTGGGGACGCAAGGCAGGCCCTAGCCTTCCCTGTCCTCCAATCTGACTAAGGCTTCAGGGCCCCACCTGAGAATGGGGCCAGGCATACTGGAGACATCAAGGTGCCCGAAGGAAAACTGCCCTCATTAGCCTGGTGACTGAGGCCCTCTATACTCCAACACCCCTGGAAGGGAGACCGGGAGGTGTCAGAGTCTGGGACTGGGTTTAAATCTTACCCTGGTTTTCCCGTTAAACCCTTGATTTCTCTCCTCCACAGCCGCCTCACAGCACGCACTTCATAATAATGTGAATAAGAGTAAATGGCATGTGTAATGTAAGTCACTCCCACGTCTAACAAAAGCAGAGGCTGAATAAATGATGTATTTTGTTTTTAATTCCAACCTCATGTCCCACAAATCCCCACAGACCCCTTCCTCCCAGCCGTTCTTCCTCTTAGGGTCCCCGGCCCTCCTCTGTCGGAGTTTACTCTTCCATCAAGGCCCACTCAGATGTGCTCCAATTAGAAGTGTGTTCACCATTGTTAATAATAAAGCTTTCACCATTTATCATTCAAGCACCATTTTTATATTGCCTAGAAATGTAGAATTTGTGTCCACGTTGTAACTTCCTGAAGGACAATGTGCATAGAAGCTGTGCTCCACACACCCTTTCTGAATGAATGAATGAATGAATGAATGAGTGGGTGAATGAATGAATGCCTAGAAGGATACAGTTAAATGGACAATATAGGTAACTACACAATAGTTAAACTCAGTGCATTAAGAAAAACATTATGCAAACCCGACTATAGCCAAGTTCCAATTATCCGTGGTAATTGAAAGAAGCAGGGGCACTAATGCTGCACAACAGACAATATGGAGCTCATTTCTCTTCAGCTTTGGAATATATATGTCTTACGTTAACACTGGAACACTGGTTTATGGTGTCACAGGAACGCATGAAGAAAGTGCTCTCTAAAGACCTAACCGAAAGAAGAGCCGAAATCCTTGCTAGCTTCCCTTTGTTTCAGACATTCTTTGCTCACGCTACCATCACCACTGACCCTTTCCTGGTGATGTATGGAGCCCATTGTGATATAGAACAGGAGCTGAAGCTGAGCTGCTTTTATTCTCTGGGCTTACAGCAGTTCCGATTTGCACTTTCCAGCTAGGGATGGTGATTACACATGCTGATAAGAAGGCAGATGCTAGAGGCCAAAAAATAAGTAAGTACAAATAAAAAGGTCATGATGTGAGCTTGCTGCACAGAGGTAGCTGATTCTAGAAATAACTCGAAAGCAAGATGACCGAGATAAGCTAGAATGAGCTGATTGGCCTGCAGATAATCAGCAGGAATCTACTTTCATCCCCCACGATCATTCATTCAACAAGCAGTGCTTGACTCTGCAATGTGGTGGCTGAGGGTAGGGTCCCTCGAGTCAAATGCCCAGGGCCCGCTGCTCACTGCTGGGACTTCTCCCAGGTGTGATTCCATCTCCTCGAAGAGAAAACGCGAAGATTAAATGAGATGATCTACATAAAGCACAAAGAGCTCTGACAACTCAGGATAAGCATTTCATATAGGTGGCAGCTGTTGAAATTATACTAACATTACACAGCAGATAAGACTCATGTACCTCTGTCTTGACAAAGTGCTAAGAAGTTTCAAAAAAAGAGCCAGTTTAGATAAGAAAATCCTAACGTGTTGCTTCCCATCCTATCAACCACTTCCTGAGGTTTCACAAGTGAATTCTTTCACTAAGTTTTCTCTTTTCTCTTGTGTATCAGATTCACTAAACCACTTCTGATTTCCATTTTCAAGGTTTAAAAGTAGTTGTGCCTTCAGATCATGTGATTTAGTAAAACTTACCATGCTTCTAACAAGTGGTTATTATTTTCACTTGCATATTCTTAGTGTATTTTGGGGGGGGGGGTCTTTTGGAAACAGGGTCTCGCTATGCAGTTCAGGCTGGCCTTGAGCTCACTTTGTAGCTCAGGTTGGTCTTGAACTCACAACAATCCTCCTGCCTCAGCCTCCCCAGTGCTGGGATTACAGATGTGCGCCACCACTCCCGCCTCTTAGCGTATTGTAGAAAACACTTTTACATCTCTTTAAACTTTGTCTTCTAACTGCCTGGTGAAGTACACAAAGTTCATCTTACTTATCTCAGTTAGAGAAGGAGTTATGTTTAAGAGGAAACAGGCACCTTGACTGGGCTCACCAGCCTATCGCATCCTGGAGACAGACATCTAACCGAAGTGTCAGCGGTCAGTGCTATTGCCCTTGAATATCATTGCTGTAATTATCAACATGAATCTTAGCTCTTCTCACTAGGGGAGGCAGGCATTTCACGTAATGTGACGGCTCTGTCAGAACTGCGTAAGTGTTGTAGATCACAGGGTCCTTTGTGAGAAAGTCAGATGCTGTCTGCAAATCACTCTGTTGTGCCCCATGGAGCTATACTTATGCAATTCAGAGCAGGGGTCTGATAAGACGGCTTCTGCTTCTTCCCACAGAAGTTCAGAGCATTGTGTAGGTTTGAATTCTGACATGCCACTTGTAAAGAAAATAACCAGATAGCACTCTCTTCCTGCAGAATAAGAAATAGAGGGAAGAGAAGCAGCAGCTGCTGGTGAGCTGTAACAGGACACAACCCTGACCTACCTTTGTACCTGGCTGTAACTGAGCCCGGCTGAGAAACCATCTGAACATTTGCACCTCTGCTCATCAACGGTGCAGGCTCTCCCCACTTAGGAATGAGCTACAGGCCATCGCCAGCTCCTGGGTCCATGAAAATTTGCCTTAACTACTTATCAAGGATGTCCTATCCGACCTCACTGCCCAACTTCTAATCCTACTCCAACGCTCCCTGGACTGCCATGTTCCTTGCTCTCCACCCAACAACTTTCTCCACTGAAACAAGAAATATAACTGAGTTCAGAGCACAGAACTGCTCAAAGGTTTTTCTTCAAATGCTTTAAGTTCAGAAATCTTGCTTCTGAATCATTCAAAGAGAAGCTTACTGTGCTTGGAGCCAGAAAACCTAGATCCATATCTTGGCTGCTCTGTTTACAGTATCCATTGACATGAAATAGTGACTTAATTGAGCTCTTCTGCATCTGTAGGAAAGTAATCCCTAACTACTTCAGTGGGTTGATCAGAGTCTCAGAGGTAATAGCAATTATGGTAATAATTAACACTTATTGAATGCTTTATCTTCATCTGTTATTGTATATTTCAATAGCCAAGTTAAGTAAAAGCTAAGAATGCACAGATGTGTCATAATAGATTTGTTTGTTCTCTGTTATATCAATCAATCCTCAAAACATACCATGAAGGAGAACCAATTATTTTCCTACTGTACATCTGAGAAAAAATGAACCACAGAGAGGGTAAGTAACTAATCTAAAATTCCACGTGTGTGGTCTTTCTGACTCCAAAGCCTATTCCCCTAAATAAGGCGCCTTGATGCATTCCATGTAATCCCTAAAATAACTGCAAATACAAAACCAAGTGTTATCATTCCCATATGCCATGAACCTTTCATGAAATCCAAGCTTTTACAAAGTATGCAGCTTGTAAAAGGAGGAAAAAGAGGAAATACATAAGCAAATAAAATGGTGTGTGATTTCCCAAGCCTTGTTTTCATACACCTCTGTATTAAATTCTTCCCATGACTACTAAGGTCAGGCAAGAATCCAAACCCAAGGACAAGGGGGTAGATTTCCATCACATTAGCATCCTTCTTGACTCTAAGAGGGACAAGATGATGGCTATCAGAGCCATGGGAAGTTCCCCTTCTCCAGGAGCTGTTCAAAGGCTCACCCCTGGGGGATTGCTCTTCCTCCATCCAGGCATGCCACAGTCTTAAACCCCTCAGAAACCTAGCTTCTTTAGGTAAAATATACTTGTACACCCACCCCTCAAGGGCTGGCCAGGTTCCCACCATGGAACAAAAGTTTTTGACCACCAAGCTCCACAATGAGCTGCTGAGAGTCTCTGCCCGCTGCCCGTGACAGCGCGGACTTCACAGCCTACTGCCTCCCGGGCAGCAACCATCAGGCTAGGAACTACTTTTTGAACCCCATTATAACTTTTCTGGTCATTTTTTCTTATTCTCCATTGGGCAAGAGTCAAAATTAAAAGTCAGTTTTTTGTTTTTTGGGTTTTTTTGGAAAGGAACACTTTTAAAGACACCAATGAAGCCTAACTCCTTAGAAATCTGCTTTTTCTGAAATCCTAGGCATGATCACCCTTAAGGTAGAATGATTATGAATACTCACCATGGTGGAGCTGTGCAGGCTTTTCATTGCTATTTCTCTCTGGCGCTTGCTCTGTGCAGGAAAGTCTTTCTGAGTATGACCTCCTGGGTGTGCCTATGTGTGTCAACAAGAGTACCTATTGGTTTTATAGCAATCAGTGCCCCTGTTTCAACTGACCTGCTTACTGTCTTGACGTTGTGGTTGGCCCAGAGTTACTGACGAATGCATCTTTTTTTCTATTCCACTTCCTGAAGGGAAACCAAAGAGGGACCCTAAAGGGGGATGACGGAAAGAGGATCAAATCTTCCTGTTCTTCTACCCCACTTCCACCCCCACTACCCTCATGACTACAAAATTCTTAACTGACTACAGAGATGAACCAAGGGCTGAATTACTGTCATGATCATCTAGGTTCTTTCACAAATTACCATCGCCCTTGTCACACACTGTATGTTCTACTTTCCAGTCACGCAGCGTGATTTCAACGGGAGGTAAGTCATTCTTACCAAGACTTGGTATTAAACCTGAGGACAGTCAGTCTTTAATTCCATTTCACGAATGGACAACAAAACCCAAAAAAATCATAACATCACTGAGAGAGTCAGAGATTATACTGCCAGGTAGTTTTGTGGTCTCCCTGAACTAATTTTCTTTAACCCAATGATTAGACCCCAACTAGTGCTTTGTCATCATTATTCATCCAGCACATAAATGTCTATTTATCCTGGCTGGCTCTGATGAAGGGTCACTTTTTCACCAAAATGAATTAGCACAGAGAAGCATTTAGATGCCCTTACTTGTGAATTTTGAATGATCTGCAAAATGTTCCTTTTTCATAGTTTGGTTGAGGTAAACATTTATTAAGCACATGCTAAATGTGCTATACCTAGGGATATACAGACATTTTCCAAAAAAAACAACTTTTTAAATCTCTATTAGGACCATGTAACTTTACATATACTCTTTTTTAAAAAGCAGAACATTCTAGCAGCGCAATTACATTCCTCTATTGTAGCATGCCTGAACTACTGTCTTCCACTTTCTCTAACTGGAGAAAAAGAGGAAACCGTCCTGCGTTCCTTGCAAGGGCCTCCAAAACTGATCAGAGTTCTGTGATGCACACTGCTCCTCCCATGCCTGTGGAATCTGTGCCGACTTCTCCTCTGGAGCAATCAGAAATTTAACTCCTACGAGAGGACTTTCTCAAATCATCTTCACTGGCATTGTTCCTTCCCCAGCACCACTGACTTTGTATTTCATCTGTCTTGTACTAACTTATCTGTTTTGCAGCAGTTGTTTTGGTGCTTCATAGATTTGGGGTGACCTTAGCCCCTCTCCCATAATCTCTACTGCCCCTTTCTCCAAATCTCCAAATCATTAGATTTACAATCTAAATGGAAACAGTGTATTTTTTAACACTGTTATTTCTTTTCTATGCAACTACAGATTCAAGAGTAGTCTGCTTGCTAATCCCTTCTAGCCCGATTGAAATTTTTAAATTATAAAAAGTTCGAAGGCCTCACTAGATAGGACCTGCCAGGTACACAGTGAAGCTAAGTGCATGAAATCAAGAAGCATGCTTTATCCCATAGCTTTGCCTGTGTCCCTCATGCTACCAAAGCCAGAAAAGAAAGAGACCCTTGATCTGGACGAAATTGAGTGGGTTGAGTTGCTCACTTTCTCCAGTTGTCTGTCCCATTCAGAGCCATCCCTCAAGGCCTGGAGGAATACACCAGCTACCCCCAAAAAAGGAAAAAGTAAATAACTTGAATGGAGAGTACTTTATTCAATATGAGAGAATTTGCTGGGTTACAAAGGAAAAAAAAAATAGCTCCTTACAAAAGAAAGAAGTGCTTAAATTTTTTTGACCAACTTTGCATGCTTATATCTGGTGATCTGAACAACTAATTTGAAGACAAGAGTTTGTAATATAACAACCACTGGTGAATTCCTACCATCTTGTTTGGTGAAGCTCTGTATCATTTTTAATGGTTTTTTTTTATTATTTTTTATTGTCTTTAAGGTTTGATCAATCTTGCATTCTTACATCTGGTAATCTGAGCAACTTCTTTGAAGATAACAATATGTAATATAGCAACCACTGTTAATTCCTATCATTTTGTTCTGAAACTCTGTATCATTTTTATTGTTCTTGCTTTGATTCATTTTTGTCTATACTGTTATTTTGTTATTTTTTTATTCTCTTTAAAATAAAAAAATTTAGAAAAAGAAAGAAGCAATATTAACCTTTACAACCAGTAGTCACTAAGTTTCCCCTCTTGGGGTAAAAATAACTATCTTTTCAGGAAGCTAAACTAATAGGAACTGGCTAGTTTAACCAAGTTTAACCAAAAACATATCCAGATCATTAGTTCACCTAATATTTATTGAGCATTTCCTGTAATGTAATCATATGATAGTAGTGGGAACATAATAAGGAATATACATTGAGCATACAGTTGATATGAAGACAGTACTTCACTGACTAACATTGTAATACCCTGGACCATGCTGTTACCAGGGTTGAATTTCTCAGAAATCCATCAGAGCTATCATTTCAGCATACTAACACTTCCAAGAGTCTATATAGCAAGACACTAGAAAATTTTATAATTCTAAGTATTAGTTACACACAGTTTTATAGTGGTAAAATCGAATAGCTGGTCAGACATTCAGTTCTGTAAGTTTTGGGGGTTTTTTTGTTTGTTTTGTTGTTTTTTACTGTGTTAGGATTGGAACTCGGGGCTTTGTACAAGCTTAGGCAAGACCTCTGCCACTGAATTACATCCCCAGTTGTTTTTCTGTTTTATTGTGAGACAGGGTCTCTCTAAATTTCCCAGGCTGGCTTCACATTTGCTATCATCCTTCCTCAGACTCCTGAGTAGCTGGGATTACAAGTGTAAGCAGCAAGCTTTTCTTAATGCCTTGTTATGTCCTTGGAGCTCTACAATGTAATTTAAAAACATGGTAAATGGTTAAATTTTTTAATTCATTACACACTGACATTAGTACCCCTCAAAATATTCTCCCTCACTTTGAACACAACCTGTCATTCTTGCCACTTTCTAACGTAGGTTTAGAAGTCCTCTTTCGTGTCTTTAGTTGCAATGTGAGACTGCCTCAATGTCTTGTATCAAATCAAAACATTTACCTTTCATGGTTATTTTGACTGCGGGAAGTAGCCAGAAGTCACACCTGCCAGATCAAGTGCATAAGAGTGATGAGGACACTGATGCTTTTACAAGCCTGCCTTCCCACCGGATGGCACTCAGAAGCTACATGTGCTGTATTTTTGACCCTAGTGAAAGAGGACGTCAGAACTGCTTCGGAAAGTGGCAGCAACGGTGGGAGGAATCTGTTTTGAAGCAAGGAGGAGCACTGCGAGGGGAATGAACAGCAAAATGTCTTGTACTGTAGTGATTTCTTTTAATTTAAATGTTCAACATATATTTTGATCAGACCTTGTAAACATGTTTGCTGAAACTACTATTGCAGGTAACAGACTATATTATTACAGTCTCTACTTTAACAAGCTTAAAATCCAACATAATGACATTGATGGTATAAATGTACACATGCAGTTTTATACAAATCAACCTCAAAAGGTTTTACCCTCATTCCAAAAAATGAATCTAATGAAGATATGCTGTCCTGTCACAGAAACATATCTAAAGACACAGAAGCTGATGCCAGAGGTGAGGCGCTGCCGTAACAGAAGGCTAAATAGTCGTGTGATAGCAATGTCAGGTGCAGCTGTAACAGGCAAAGTGTAGGCTGGATAAATAACAATCTGTGCTCTATAATGGCACAATATTTGGCAAAATTATTGCCTACAATACCTTGAGAGGCAGATCTTGAACTGATGAAGCTTGTAGCTCTAGAAAAAGAAACTGGGAAAAACAACATTAGTTGCCTGTGTTAGATGCTATTTTCTGCATTTGACAAAGAACACAAGCAAGAGATGAGGTCAGGGATGAGTCAGCAGGTCTCCAAACAAAACAGAAAACAAATTCAAACCATCCAAAAATCTACCACCCTGCAAGATTAAAGAAACAACTATTTCTGCTCCAAAATAGAGGACGAAATTGAAAAGCTGTTGAGAGATAAATACGCACTAAAACTTTTCAACCAAATAAATTTCCTAAGGGCAAGAATAAGAATGAAGCATGAAGTAAATCCTTTTAATTAGATAAAAGAATGCAGAATAAAATGTGCAAGAACATAGTTCTAGTAATTTCTCATTAAATCAGGAAATGAATAAAGAGTTATAGAAATGAAAAAGTAAAGAAATACAGATGTTCTCGGAATTATGCCTTAAAAGCATTTGACTAAGATAAGAAGTTTAATAAATTTTTGAGAGAGCTCCCAAAATGAATCAGGACCCCGTCTCCAGCCCCCAGCTGCTGAAGAGAAGGAACTAAGGCCCCGAGAAGGGCTTATAACCAACACGACTTCACATGTGACCAAAGAGATTACTGGGGGAAAAAAGGATTTAAACTTCCAAGGACCACAGAAAGCAGAACCAGGTTGCAGTCAAAGGATATTCAACCTGTCTGGCTGGGGAGTCTCCACAACCCGGCCAAGCAGGGTTTCAGAGCTGATGCCGACCAAAACTCCTGTGTGCCCCCCGGTCTTCCTCTTTCCGAGTTGAAATACTGATTGGCATCTCCGCGCTTCTGCCCCACGCGCTCCGACCTTACGCGGTGAACTGTTGTATACCACCTGGAAACCCCAGATTTGAGCTGGATACTCTAGATGGAATGTCTGGGCCTTCCTTGGGAAGGGAATAAAGATACTGCGTAGGCAAGGATCGAACACCAAGTATTTGATGAAGAGAAAGACGGACGATGGTCGGCAGTACTGAGAGCAGCACCAAGATGCTCTTTTGCTCTACCTTCAGGAACAGAGTATAACACGGTTTTTGTCTCCTTAGAATGCAACTTGCCTTGCCCAGTAAAACGTGAGCTAAAGGGAAAAGAGACACTGCTAGCAGAAGGAGAAATCCACCTATCAGCGCTCACCGCAACTTCACTTCTCCTGCCGCCGGGATTGCGGACTTACGTGGGACCGGAACATTACAGAGCGGTAAGAGGCTGGTGCC